GAATGCGGATGGTGATGATGTCGTCGAATTTACACCAACCAGAACTGGCCAGTATAAGCTGAACGCCAAATTGGCCGGATTCCTTGTTAATGGTAGTGTGTTTTTTGCGTAGCTTCTTTATCCAGCAGTGGCACATCCAATTTTTGATGCTACATCCTGCTCGCAGTTTGATAACCTTAAGCCGTAGTGTTCTTGCTTTTTTCTTCTTTGCTTTAATTTATGGTAAATTTACCATTGATATCGAGGTCCTTTTTTTTTGATCAGGGAAAAATGGAAAGGTGAAGACCAAAGTATTTCTCATCTGTTTTTTTAAGAAAAAAATCCGCTTGATGTGTTTTGTTCAAGAAAATATCAAAAATTCTCTTACTAAATTTTCGTGATGTTAAAGTCTGTCTCGTTTTTTTTCCTCCCCTCTTAAGAGATGCTGCTTCCATTTTGCCACGGATTAACAACTTTCTTTGAAACAGGCTACTGAATAATTTCAGGGACGCCACATACACTGGTAGTTGAGGAGCAGGGTAAGCCAACGGTGTATGGAACAGCAATCGAGCGTCCAGTCGAAGTGCAACGCCCAACGAGCATCATCTTTGATGCCAAAAATTGCAGAGGTGGCCTGAAGATTGATGTCCGAGGTAACTTATTCATTTTTGCGTTTTTTTTTTTCCAAAAAAAAAACTCGCTCAGCACTGGGCAATTTTATCACTAAGATCGCACGGATGTAAATTATGCTGTCGGTATAAAAGAGATACCAGTCACAGCCACGTCAGATCTTCCTGTTTGGCGATAATTATCTCTAGTAGTGACCTATAATAAAGCAAGTGCCAACTGCAACCACTCGCTGGTAAGGCTTCCAGTGGCTTCTTTCGATGGTTGCTTACAGGCAACCTGATGATGGGTTTGACGCTTTGGCACACACCAGTACTAATTAATCATCGAAACAAATGAGTAATAGAGGGACTTGGTTATCCCAGGCATAAGGTAGATTTTAAAATGCGTGTAAGTATTTCTTCGGTAATTTCAGGCCCGAAAAAAACGAAAATTCGTCATACGGTAAACAAAAATCAGGACGGAACAACAGAAATTTTGTTTACACCGTCGGAGGTCGGCCGTTTTACGGTCCACATTGAACACAACAATCGAGCTGTTGCGGGTAACAAAATTAGTTCCATCTTTTCTTCCTTTGCGTCCCGTTTTTTTTCGCTCTTTTTCGACAACGAACTTGGCTTTTCTTTTATTTTTTAATTCTTCAAATCCCATGGTAAAAATACGGCTAATTTGGCATATTTTTCAGGAAGTCCATTTGAGATCGAAGTGCTGGATCCCCAAAAAGTTATTGTAAATGACCAAATGACCGATGAGGATGGAATGTATCAATTTGCGGTGCAGCAACGAAATGTCATCGACGTTGATGCTACTGCCGCCGGATCTGGTAAGACAGCTTTTGGGACTCGTTTTGTGTATATTCAGGATTTGGCATGCAGGCAAATTTGGTTCTACAATCAAGCTAAATGTTTTAAATTTTGCGCAAAACTCCCTGTGAGGTTTGGGAGCTTCAAAGCAGAGCGAAAGATATGTAACAGCCGGAGATTGTTTAATTTAAGGCAAAACGCGCTTCCACTTTTGATCCCCGTAGATCCTCCGCCGCAAATACATACACACACAAATTTCATAAAACATTAGCTTTACGCTTTATATCGAAAGTCAGTCTCCCCTTCTTACTCGTTTTCTAGACACGCAAAGGCATTTAGAAGTAGCAGAACTAGTAACACATGACAACAGCATATCACTGGCAAGCTTATCGGAAGCTTATTCTTTCGAGAGTTTCTTCACAGGCAGGCTATTGGCGATTTTGACTCCCAGACATATGCCAGTACCAACTTTACCATCGAGGCGAGCGAGTGAATTGTAGAGGGACTGGCTGCGTCCACCGGCGGAGACAGTCTGGAGTTTCAGCATGAAAGCATTCTCATTTTGTCAATGCTCAGTGCTAATCAGCGTAATCCCCGTATGTTTTGAGGAAAACTTCGCGCGGAAGTTCGCGATTGGGACGGCAAATCGATGGGTGGTTGTGATGTGGAATCGCTTGGATATGGTAAATATCGTGTGGCATATTATCCGCATCAACCGGGAAAATATGGAATTTACTTGTACTGGTCGGATATGGCGGTCCAGGGAGCGCAACCACTGCACGTGATTGCTGAGGGTGAGCAACCATCAACCTCACGTGCCGTCCCGCTTACGAACGCCGTCACGGATGCATCACATGGCTCGATTCGATCACGATCTGAGTATGTGTTTTTTGTTAATCACTATTTGTTTTGCATAATTCGATTTAAATTTATTTGACAGCAGCATAGCTGAGAGGAAGTTAAAAGAGGAACCGCACGGAGAGCGGTGAAAAGAAGACCAGGTACTCGCGTATTCTAGAGAATGGGGGTGGGAATTTTTTCTTTTTTAAATCAGTTGGTCCTCTCCATGTCATAAGTTAATCATCTTGCCGAAAAAGGAAGAGAAGAATTAGAAACGGATAGTATGAACGTGGTAATAGGATAAATTCAGTAACGTTTTTCCCACGTTTCATCCCTAAGCTGTATACATAGAGGACGAGAACAATAAGATGTAAATGGAAAGCTGATTCCAGTATTTATAATTCTTCGTCATTAAAGTGTTAATTGGATTAAAAAAATTCGCACACTTCCTCTTATTTTTTGGCCCAGCCATTTTCTTAAAGCCCATTATAAAAGCGCGTAAGATATGAATGTGACGTGTATTTATTTGTGCAGGGATCGCTCAATGCAAGAGGAGGATGGATCGGAGCATTTGCGTGTGGTTCTTCGTGGTGACGGTCTAACACGAGCTGCCATTAAGGAACAAGCAGAATTTATTGTTGATGGATCGGATGCTTCCAGAGGTTTGTCCGTTTTTTACCCGTATTTCCATCTAGTCTTAAGATTCGGTTGTGCCTGGGTATGTGCACCTCAGTAACACCAGAAATTCCAAGCTGTGGCCTGGAAGAGCGCGATGGCCTCGTTAATCTGGTGCTTTATTTTTCACAGAAGAAAAGATTGCCCACGAGGGATGAGTTTCGTCGAGGAGATTATGCGAATGCGTCGAGTACCATCCGATGGTACTCCATCGAAATCGAAGGTTTTGGCGTAGCTACAGTTAACGAACAGTTGTACGCTCGTTTATAAAAAAAAAGTCTTGAAAGAGAGCACCATCGACAGCGAAAGGATTTTCATAACTAGCGAGTCGTTCAGTTTCAGCAGCGCTGAATTTCCGCTTTTGACAAACTTGACAGTCTCGATTAATTTCTTGTGCTCTCAAATGAGTAATTTTTTTCAGAGGGTCAGTTGTCCTGTTCATTGATTGGACAAAAAGCAGATATTCCGGTGCGCCTGACACATCTTGGTAATAACGTTTATAAGGCAGTTTATACGCCACTAATACCTGGCACATATGAACTGCAGGTTTGTTTCAATTGTGTTTCTACCGTTTCCTCGAGAAGAAAATTTCTTTTGGGAGGAACATGTAAAAACAGGTCGGCATGTTGAAGTTCATTTCGACTTCTGAAGGGCTAGTCAACTGCAGTGATTCTATGAGTTACAGTTAACCCAAATAATCCAAAATTGTTTTTTAGACAAAAAAATATAATTTGTTGCAAATTTCTTGAAAGAAACTGAACTTCTCTTATCTGCATTATGCTACTGGTGTTTATTAGCATGATATGAAAAATGTTCGAGTTAAGAAAATAAAGAAGCACTGAAGAATTTAAAAGTCATAATAGAGAAGATTGTGGTTTTCTTACTTGGAAAAATTGGTAGAAATCATGATTTTCTGAATTGTGTGCTAGCTTTTTTCCACAGTTTTTATAGTTTTCTTGTTTTATGAGTAAATTAGCAACCCAAACACTATAGGTATTATGGGACGGCCATCATGTGCGTGGCTCGCCATTCCGGGTTCAAATTGATGCGCATTCAAGCGCTGCTGAAATGATCAGTGTTGATGCGAATACACTGAAAATGGGTATTATCAATGAGGATGTGAAAACTGTTATCGACACAAGGCGAGCTGGACCAGGTACCATTCTTCTCTTCTCTACAATTCTGTAGATGTGTTGCGAAGGAAACAAGGTGTTAACAGCAAAGAAACGAAGCTGCCGGCTAAGCCTCTTCGCCTTGCCCAGTTGCCCTTCGATTCCATGTGATATGCAAATTTCGCGCCTCTTAACTCGAATTTCCCCTCTGCGATATGTAACGATGTGATTAGAAATGAAGTGTGATTGTTTTTTTGTGCAAAATAATTGTGCGGCAGCAGCTCGGAGCTACTGACGCTCCCGCTCCCATATAACTGTACGGTGACGGCTTGGAGCTGCTGCCCGATCGTCCGCGATTCTTGGTTGATTTTTGTTTCTGGGTGTTTTTTTTTTTGTTTTTTTTTAATAAAGCATTGTTTACTGATTGGGCGAGTGCCCCTGCGGTTCCACAGGAACTCCCTACAGCCGCACCGGCTCTCCTCCACGCATTGCAGAGGCACACCTATCTGTCCGATTAATTTTTCGTCGCCACTTATTTTCGGTAGCCTTAGCAACTATGTTTGTGTTGTTCAGGTCAATTATCAGCTCAGTGCATGGGACCAACAAAACTTGCATATTGCGAGCTTTACGACCATCGTGATGGTACTTATACGCTATCAGTGAAACCTTCTGAAATTGGCAAACATACACTTGGTTTGTTTTCATTCGGCTTTCCTGTTCTTTGGTCTCTGCTTCAGTTCAGAACTTAGTTTCCTGGCGATTAAAACATGAATATCAAAGTCGGAAGCCAAAACTCTCCTTGTATTCACGTTTTTTTGAAAGACAGAGGCGTCAGGAGCAAAAACTCCCTGGCAAAACTGTCGATAATTCTCTCTTTCAGACTAACCTCAATTTTTCTGTATTTTTTGATCAAATGCCTGATTGCTTCGTTACAGTGGTGAAATATTCGGACGAACATGTGCCAGGAAGTCCGTTTAATTTTAATGTTTCTCACCCACCGGATGCGTCAAAAGTTCGCGTTTTTGGACCAGGAATCGAGCATGGAATTCTTTCTGTGTTAGTTTTTTTTCTCATTTTTCGTTCACGATTTGTTGTAGCGAAACTAGCCAATTGTGATCATAAAGGATACAAGATAAGGTTGGATCTAATATCAAACCTTGGATTTTCTGCCATTTTAGGTTCAAATCGAATTTCATTGTGGAAACGAAGGGTGCTGGTGCTGGACAGCTTACGGTACGCGTACGGGGACCAAAAGGTGCATTCAATGTTGAAATGCAACGGGAGAAAAGACAGGAGCGAACAATTCATTGCAAATATGAGCCAAAAGAGCCCGGGGATTATCAGGTAACATTCAGGAGTTTGCTTTTTTTGAATTTTTAGTCAGATGTTGTTTCATCGTCACGTTTTTTTTTCGCCATTGATGCATTTTGGCAATTTTTCGTTCTTCTCTGTTTTGGACTTCCCTCATCTGTGTTTGCACATAACTGTTCTTTTTTTAGTTAATTTCTTTTCAGCTTTTCTCTTCTTTTAATAAGCTAATTTTAACTTTTTTAAATTTGTTTCTTTAGCTTAATTTCTTTTTTATTTAAAAACTTCTTTTAGTCTTC